CCCCAAAACCCCAAAACCCCAAAACCCCGCCAAGAAATGTAATAAATGTAAGTTTGTAATTAATAATAGAAAAGAATTCTCGAATGATTATACTTATCAGAAATTAACAGTAGCCATTACTTGGTTATTATCTTAAATATAAGTGGAAATGCAAATTACATCTTATAAATAATTAAGATAATATTAAGAAATGGAAATCAAATTGCTTCAAGAGCCAATCATTAATATCTAAAGTCATGGCATAGAGACTAGCAGATACAACTCATTGCTATATCTAGGAAATGATGAAAGAGAGTATTCCTTAAACTGCTGTGGAAATAGATTGATATTAAGATCATTCTCTAATCACTCAGTATTGATTGATTAAAAAGTAGCAGAGGATGCTATAATGGTAATAACTTAGTGCCCAGTTACCTAAAACTTATTAATTTGCACCTATGATGGTATTTATTCATTCAGTCTTAACATAAAAATTTAGCTCATTTTATTGTGTTAAATATATCTGACGATATGAATAACTTCTAGATTTTGAAAGATATAACTCAAATAAGAGAGAATAATGACTTTAGATATATTAGACATGCCACTATTAGAGAAAATAAGATAGCTTTTTGTTCGGAGCATGGTAAAGAATTAAGCAAAATAGTCTTGTTCGAGTTTTAAGAGGATAACAGTTTGAATATACTTTTTGAATAGCCAGGGTAAGTTTCAATCCTTACTTAATTTATCATTATATAGAGGTTACAGATAATGTGAGTTCAATAGTGAAGGAGATCTCTTTGCAGTAAGAAAATATCTAAAAGTTGAAAATAACGAAGAGACTCTAACATATGAGTCATAGTTGATAGATAGAAATACTTTGACTGTTGTATAAAAATCAGAGATAATATGTTAAAAGAATGTTAAAATGCTCTAGCTCATTCCAAGTGAAGATAGGAAATCAGTTCTTTTGAACTCAAACCTAAGACATCTTATTGTTCAAAGTACTCTAGATGTTTAAAATAGAAAGATCATTACGTATATAAATTTGCCAGGAAATCCTGCTTCACCTTGTATTTAGAATGGAATCGGATTCTAGTTGGTCTAGAATAAGTTGATTTTAAGGATTGATTTATAAAATTGTCTCAGAAGCAGAGATATCGCTTCATCTCATATAGAGCTTGATGTTAAGGTTCCATAAAGTATTAAATAATAATTAGCTAATGGAAATATTGGCTTGGAGATCTTCTAAACCTCTTTTTATATTAAGAAAGACTGCTATTCAATGATAATTAATAAATCATTTACAAAGCTAATGCTTTGCCTAGTTAATGAGATAGGTTATTACACTTTGAATCAGAGTTAGAAAACTCTATTTACAGAAGAACCATTTAAATTAGAAGAATAAGTACATGGAATGTTTAGTATCACTTGCTGCGGGTCATCTCTTTCTAAAAATAAAGATTTGATTGCAGTAGGGGATTACTTAGGCAAAATTCATATTTATTGCTCCAAAACTCAGAAGATTTTACACCAAGCATAAATTGATGATCAGATCAGATACATGCATTTCCATGACTATCACAATGAGATTTTATTGATAGCAACCTTTAGTGGAGCAATATATGTTTGGAATAATATTGGTCGAGAAAATAACAATCCTAAGAGAATACTTAACCTTAACAGAACCGTCACCAGTATTAGAACAAGCCATGGTCAAGTTAGATTAAATCCTATTAGATTTGCTGAAAAGTAGTATATTATCTTTGGTTCTATTAAAGGATAATTAAGCTTATTTTCTCATGATGAATATTTGCCTGATGGTGGCATTGATGTTAAGGATCTCACTCTAGAATGGTCTATTATTGCTCATGAACCATCTACAGGACCTTTCGATGAAAATTTTGGTTCCTTATGTAAGAATTATCACTTATACTAATTTATCTATAGAAAAGCAATCAGAAATTTGGTCGACAATTACTAATAAGGGCTCGCTTAAAAGAATAGTGACATGTTCAGAGGACTAACTTAGCAAAGTTTGGAGTTTTGAGCCTGGAAAAAATCCATAACTAATAAAAACATTGCCTGGCCATTTAAAGGCAGTAACATCAATTGACTGGCAAAAAATGAAAGATGGGAAAGAATACTTAGTCAGTTGCTCAGATGATAAATTTGTGAGGATTTATTCCACTGAGGATGATAAATATGATCTTGTTTAAAACATTAACACAGAATTTATTACTGATTGGCACACTTTGACTTACCTTTGTATGGAATAAAATGGTGAGCATATTGCCTTTGTCAGTGAAAATGGATATTTATTCGTGTGGAACATGTTTACTAAAAAATTCGTTTACTCAAGAAAAATCCATAATGGGAGTATTGAGTCATTAACTTGGAGAGGAGATACATTAGTTTGTTGCTCGTCAGATTGTACATTTTCGTCTATTGTTTTCTCTTACAATATTGATGAACCGAATCTCTGAGAACAAATTCATAATTAAAGAGAGCGGAAAATATATCATAATACCTATAAATAATATTATTTGATTATCTAACATTAATCTTAATTTATTAATAAATTATTCAAATATGCCTTCAGCAAGCGACTTACAGCGATATATTTAAAAAAAGCACCAGAAATTGAATTTATTTCATAGGTCCTCTTACGCTCTAGTCTAGTGCATGCTACTTCTAGGTGTTTGGAGTTGCCTTTCATTGAATTCTCACAAGCCTGATTGTGATTAAGCCTCGCTTAAGAGCTTGCTATTTATTTACATGATGAACCACTCATTCAATATATTAAAGGAGTCTCATGACTTGACTCAAGAAAAATATGGGTATCTCACTTTCTCAATGTTCTTTTATCTTAATAATGCATTATACTGGTCACTATGGATTTTTTCAAACTATATCTTACTTTCCACAGCTTGCAATGCTAAAATTCCAGATACAGCATTTTGGGTAGCTGTTGAAATACTATATGGTTACTTTGAAATACTAAGCTATTTGATTATGTCAGTTATAGCTTGGGGTTGCGGTTAAAGCATTATGAAGTGAATACGATCTATAGCCGAAATAGAGTGATAAAAGAATTAGGCAGCGCTGTTTAGATTAAATACATTAATTTTTATTGCATAATCTTATCATTTTTCCTATTTTTTAAAAATTAAAGCTTAAGGGGTTTTGGGGTTTTGGGGTTTTGGGGTTTTGGGG